TCACGGTCTGTGATGGGTCCAGGGATCTGTCTGTCACGGTCTGTGATAGGTCCAGAGACCTGTCTATCACGGTCTGTGATGGGTCCAGAGACCTGTCTGTCACGGTCTGTGATGGGTCCAGAGACCGGTCTATCACGGTCTGTGATGGATCCAGAGACCTGTCTGTCACGGTCTGTGACGGGTCCAGAGACCTGTCTGTCACGGTCTGCGATGGGTCCAGAGACCTGTCTATCACGGTCTGTGATGGGTCCAGAGACCTGCCTGTCACGGTCTGCGATGGGTCCAGAGACCTGTCTGTCACGGTCTGTGATGGGTTCAGAGACCTGTCTGTCACGATCTGTGATGGGTCCAGAGACCTGTCTGTCACGGTCTGTGACGGGTCACGTGAGTGTCTGTCACGGTCTGTGGGGTGAGGGGGGGTGGGCCCAAATTTCTACCCCTAAACACTTCAACACTCCTTTCAGATCGTGTTTCACAAAATTTTAAAACGATTTCATTTTCTATTGAGACATTGCGGAGCTGTTCGATGCTTAAAATGTTTGTTTGCTGGAAACCCTTTAGGGTCCCTAGTTGTCGGAAAATTTTGTCTTAAAACTATCTCCATTTGAAGGTTTCATATGCAGCAACTTGTATGAAGAGTTTCAGAGCTGGTAGATTTTTAATCTTCGAGATGGAGAATCTTGAAAATATTCTTGTATTATTTATTACTCTTCCAAACGTATCTAGTTTTGAAAAACTCTTTACTTGGAGATACGAAATCTATGAACTCTGAAATTCTTCATACAAGCATCTGTATATGAGGCCTTCAAATAGCGATAGTTTCAAGAAAAAATTCAATAACAGAAATTCTCAGGGAGCTTGGGACTCTATTGAGACCTATGGCAAATAGATATAGTAAAAATTCGATAGCTTCGCTAAGTTTCAATAAAAACTAAAATCTTTTTACGGTCTCTCCTAGAATACTATCTAGTGTCTACAAATGAACAGTCATTGAAATCAAAAGAAGATATCTTTGGAGGTTCGCTGATTAAATTATTATTATAGTAGAACTTGATAATTGATGGGTGCAGTCGAACTGGAGTTGGACTTAATAGATTTTTATCAATCAAGATAAAATTTCTGTTAACTTAGTAATCCTGTCAAATGGAACTTAAAAAAATCTAAGATTGAAAATATTGATTACAGAAGCGAATGCAAAAGTATTCAATTTTATCAAGTTAAATCGGATAGAGCATAACTTTTGCACTCAGAGTTGCAGTAATATCGCCAAAAAACCTATATGAGTGTTGGATTTTAATTCAAAAGACTTGAGTACAGTTAGAGTGACACTTAGTTGAGTTTGTCCATCTCTAACTATTTCTCTTTCTATATGTTTAGAGCATTTCTTATATGGAGATCAAACCGGCTAGTCAACTTCATGCCAAACTATTTGAGTAAGCCATTGTGATTATTTTATATCAAATCACTCCATTTGGTTCAATTCTCTTATAGTAATATTGCAAAGATCGAGAAAGGCATCGGTTCTGAATTCTTAATGGTACTAGTAGCGTTGTTCATCACTATTGGTTGTTTAATAGTATCTTTCATTGCCAACTGGCAAATGACCTTGGTCATGCTATGTTTGTTGCTTTTGATCATTGGTAGCTCATTTTTCTTTTCTAAGGTATGAAGTATTGTTCAATCAATTGAATCTCTATGAATTGTTGCAGCTCATTGCTAATGAAACAATGAATGAGTTAATGACATACTCGAAAGCAGGACAAATCGTTCAAGAAGTGTTTAGTTCACTAAGAACTGTTCATTCTCTCAATGGTGGCAAATTTGAGCAAAAACGGTAGAGAAACATATAAATATAGTTTACTCATATGGCATCATAATGCATGCTGCTTTTTTTTATTGTATTTAGATATGAAAGAGTATTGTATTCAACTCGCTGGAGTAACATATGCCAAGGTTTCATGTATGGAGTACATTTGGGATGGCTAGCTCTAAAAACCTATCTAGTTTATTCAGTTGGCTTTATCTTTGGTTCTCTTGTTATGTCACACAAAGATCATCTTAGTTTGAATATTACTGATATTCTTGTCGTAAGTAATTCATATAATCATTCAATATGCATATGGATATGAGGCTACTATTTTGATGCAGGTCGTCTTCAGCTTTACACGATGCTTGACTTTCTATAATGTTGTTGGTCTTTTGTTTCAATCTATTTCAGAAGCTCAAGGTGCAGCAGCAGCGGTGTTTCAACTTATTGACGAGGTAAATCTGAGTAAACTGAGGTCTCATACCGATAGCAATGCTTTTCATTTATTTACATGATGTAGGAAAATGAAGCAAGCATCAATGAAACAGATATATGGAAAGAGGATACAAAGTCGATTTGTAACATCAACGGTGATATTGAATTTGACAATGTTAACTTTAATTATCCATCTCGAAAAGAAGCATCAGTTCTGCATAACCTCTCTCTTATTGCATGTGCTGGTCAGATAACTGCCCTGGTAGGTTCTAGTGGTTGTGGTAAGTCTTTTTAAAAACAAAAATGTTAAAATGATTTCCTTTCTGTTCATAATTTATACATAGGAAAAAGTACATGTATATCACTACTTCTTCGTTACTATGAACCTCAGTTGGGTCAAATAATGATCGATGGTCGACCAATCACAGATTACAATGTCAAACAACTTCGACGAAACATTGGAGTTGTTAGTCAAGAACCTGTATGTTGTTTTTTCGTTTTTCTTTTCTTCCTTACATTTTAATTCAATATTGTAATAGATTCTGTTTGGTATGAGTATTTATGAAAATATTCGTTTTGGTAAAGTAAATGCAACACAAGCAGAAATTGAACAAGCAGCACAAGAAGCAAATGCACATAATTTCATCATGCAATTACCAGATGTTTGCATCAAATATTTACATGTATCTAAATATATGTATCACTATGTCTTGTTTAGAAATATGAAACACTAGTTGGTGAACGTGGTATACAGTTGAGTGGTGGTGAAAAACAACGTATTGCATTAGCTCGTGCTCTTGTCAAGCAACCTAGTTTCCTTTTACTGGATGAAGCAACAAGTGCACTTGATAATGTTAACGAAAAAATTGTTCAAGAAACACTTGATAGGGCATGCAAAGGTAATAAATGCTTTTTTTTGCATATCAAATTGATATATCATTCTGTACAGGTCGTACAACTATTGTTATTGCTCATCGTTTGGCCACAATTCGAAATGCTCATCAAATATATGTATTAGATGATGGAAGTGTGATTGAGCAAGGTACGCATGAAATATTAATGGCAAAAAAAGGAGGAAAATATCAAGCAATGGTTAAACATCAACAAATGGAAAAAATCGATGATAACATAGATGATATGATGAGCATGCAAAAAGTACAAGAAGAAGATGAAAAGTGGATATGTATGTTAATATTCTAATAGAAATAGTTTTCATTTTCATTTGTCTTGTATTTTAAACAGTTGAACGCTCTCGTTTACTTAGCGATAGTGGAATTGTTGATGTGAACAAGGTACACACACTAGTGCAATACTTCATAAAAATCAATTGATAATTTCTATTTTAGCAAAGTTCGAAGCCATTCAGGCGAAAATTTGTCTTTTTAAGACTCTTGTCAATGAATAGGCCTGAGTGGATCACGATCTCGATTGGGTGTATAGCATCTGTACTTTGTGGCGGAGTTCAACCATTGTTTGCATTTCTACTTGCCAAAATAGTCGATGTGAGTAATCTACTTATATAAAAATCGTGTGAAAAGAATGACACGAGGACATCGTCTACTTTCGATTTATTTATTGCATAGGCATTCAAATATTGTTCAACCTCTGAACGACGTCGTCAAGTGTTGATTACCAGTCTTCTCTTTTTACTTTTGGGTGTTGTTTTTTTGATTCTTCGGATCTTTCAGGTGAAATATTTGCTTCTGAGTTTCATCAATAAGTCATTCACTCTTTTCTACAGTATACAGCTTTTGCTATATCAGGATCGAAATTGACGCAACGCATTCGTTCGAAAGCTTTTGAATGTCTACTTCGTCAAGAAGTTGCTTATTTCGATAGACCTGAAAATAGTTCTGGTGCAATTTGTGTTCGCCTTTCCTCTGATGCGTCAGCTATCCAAGATATGACGGGCATACGATTAGGATTCATCTGTGAAGCTATCGCGTTATCGTTTTTTGGAAATCTATTTGGATGTCTCATAAGTTGGCAATTAACATTGATTGTTTTTGGTCCTCTTTTAATCCTATTCTCAGTCACCTATGCGGATGTGTCCTTAAATATACGGTTGAATGAAAAATCTGGTCAAATTATCGGACGAGCAAGCGCGGTAAGTTATGATTTTACCTTATTATTGTTTTTTTTGCTAGGAAAAATTAATTTGTCATGAATTGTTTGATAAATCAAATTCACTAAATTCAATCTGAATTTTACTTCTGCAGCTTACTGCTGAAGTTCTTCACCACATGCATACAATAAAACAGTTGTCAATAGAAAAGGAAGTTTTACGACAATATTCTGCACTTGTGCATGAAGTATTTCTGTTAGTCAATCGACTTCTATACATGATTGAATTTTCATCCGATCTTGCTTTATCATAGATTGTCTTGGAAACCTGTCATAATACATTCAATTGCATATGGTCTATTGTGGATGACAGAGTCATACACTATGACATTTGTATATTGGCGTGCTCTCGTCCTTGTTGAAAAGAATGAACTTACCTCAAACCATATTTTGATGTAATTAAAAATACAGTTTGATAATCTAGCCATAACGTTTTACTATCATTTCAATATATTAGGGTCTTTGCTTTTGCTGTATTTTCGTTACAAGCAGTAAAAATCATCGGAATGACGTAACACTCTGAATTTCTACTTTGCTTTTTCTTCTGCTCTCTCCGTTGTAGGTCTAAGCGTATCGCTGCATCAGTTTCAGCTGCTAAAACATTTTTTGATTTATTTGATCGAAACCCAGCTATCGATAATACATCTATTGAAGGCCAAGAATTGGTAAGAAAATATAGAAGATTACTGTTTTCTTTCAATCATGAATACATCATGTATGTCATGATTGGTGTAGGTTAATTTTCATGGAGAGATAAAATTTGATCAAGTCAAATTTATCTATCCAACTCGACCAACATCTATTGTTCTTAACAAATTTCAATTGAATATCAAGCCAAGTGAGTACGATAAATTTCGATTTAATCATTTTTTTTGTAAATTTTATTCACTGATAAGGTCAACGTGTAGCTCTTGTTGGTATGCTTGAACTAAATGCTTCTTTTAAGTATTAATTATATAATATGATGCGTATAGGGGCATCCGGATGTGGAAAATCAACAATTATTCAGCTGTTGGAACGATTTTATGATGTTACAAGTGGTCAACTAGTTAGTATTTCTTCGACGTATAGTGCAAATAATTATGAAAAAAATTTTCATTCAATTTAGCTTCTTGATGGCATTGATATTCGAAAACTAAACATTCATTGGATCCGTTCTCATTTTGGCCTTGTGAGTCAAGAACCAATTTTGTTTGATTTAACAATTGCTGAAAATATAGCATATGGCTTAGAAAATGTTCCAATGGAAGATATTATCAATGCAGCACGTAAAGCTAATATTCATCAATTTATTCAGAAATTGCCTCAAGTTAAACAATACAAAATTATATAATGTATCTATTACTATTTTATATATCTTTTAGGGTTATGAAACAAAAGTAGGGTGGAAAGGCAGTTTTCTGTCAGGTGGTGAGAAGCAACGTATTGCTATTGCTCGTACTCTTCTTCGTCAACCTAAAGTATTGCTCTTAGATGAAGCTACAAGCGCTATGGATTCACACAACGAACAAGTTTGTTTATTTTTCTATTTATCAATTAAAGCTTCATCTTCACTGATCAATCTTAGATTGTACAAGAGGCTCTTGAAAAAGCTCAAAGAGAAGATCCTAGTCGAACATCACTCATTATTGCTCATCGTCTTTCAACTATTTGTTCATGCGATTTGATCTGTGTACTTGATAGAGGACATATAGTGGAGAGTGGTACTCATAAAGAATTGATAGAACGACGTGGAGCTTATTATAAAATGCTGGCTAAAAATAATTTACAATGATTATCAGTGAACTATTTTGAAACTGAAAATACACTTAATCAAGTATTAACAGAAACTTTGCCTAAAACCTCTGACACATAAAATAGTTACATTGCTCAATTTACTCTACGATTATTAAACTCCATAATAAATTGATTGTTTCATTGAATTACAGCATATTGCATCGATTGTTTTTAGCTTATTAATCATATTTGAACATAGTACAGATAACCATGATCTCAATAGCTACTTAG